AGCAATACGAACTGTGTGGTGGTTATTCACTTTTTCCACAAAGACCATGATGACCTTATTGATGTGTTTGTGTACTTGGGGTGGCTCAACCATTTTTTGCTTCGTGGCTCCGTCCCAGAAATGGCAGGGAAAATCGACAGAATCAGGAAAGGCCTACTCTTTTTGGTGGTCAAAAGCTATGATTTCGCTGTAGATGTCCCTTTAAATCAAGCCATTGAAACCTCAGCTTCTCTGATTCCCAGGTTTAGCTTCCTCGTGGCACAAGCTTTCGCCGTCCAAGTGAAAGCGGTCGGTTTTTCAAGCAGCTTGGTGTCACAAAAAACCAGGCGTTAACAGATCTGTATGATCGACACAGATCTGTCAGAAGGTATGGTTGCTTTGCGAATTTTGACGGAGTATGGAACTGTCCCTAATCTTTCCCTGGCAACCCCCGACCTGACCTCATGCAGCCATCAAAATGGGCTTCCTATTCAGTAACTTAGATTCTGGCACCAACGTGTGATGATGAATAGGAAGGAAGAAAATCAAACTGATGCAGTGAATCAAATAGCCATCAAGAACAAATAAGTCTGGACCCCCCCAAATCTCATGTTTTCTTTTTCTTTTTTTAGAAAATACCCCTGTCGTACGTTGGAGGTAAGTCCCCCATACATTGGCCCTTTCTTGGGCTCCCCGAATGCATTCGAGCTCCAAGGTGTTGAGTGGTGGGGAGGGAAGGAGTTCAAAGACACCGGTGGTTGCTGGGCAGAAACCCATGTTTCCTGGGCCTCGTCATGGGGGGGTCAAGTGACCATGCGGTAGCCATGGACCCGCAGATGTCTTGCGATGTGTCGATCTTTTTGTTTTGGACTAACCCATGTTTGAAATGATGATGATGATGATGATGATGATGATGATGATGATGGATGATGGATGATGGATGATGGATGATGGATGATGGATGATGGATGATGGATGATGGATGATGGATGATGGATGATGGATGATGGATGATGATGTATTATGATGGATGATGATGGATGATGATGGATGATGGATGATGGATGATGGATGATGAATGATGGATGATGGATGATGGATGATGATGGGTTATGATGGATGATGATGGATGATGATGGATGATGATGAATGATGATGGATGATGGATGATGGATGATAGATGGTGGATGATGGATGATGGATTATGGATGATGATGATGATGGTGGTGATGATGATGATGGTGATGATGATGATGATGATGATTATGATGATGATGATGATGACGACGAGGACGACGACGACGACGGCGGCGGCGGCGACGATGAGGATGACGATGACGATGGCGATGGCGATGACAATGACGATGGCGATGACGATGACTATGACGATGACGATGAGGATGATGATGATGATGATGATGATGAGGATGAGGATGAGGATGAGGATGAGGACGACGATGACGATGATGATGATGATGATGATGATGATGATGAGGATGAGGATGATGTTGATGATGATGATGATGATGATCAGGAGTTTGACAGATTTTGACACCCAGGGGATGTTTATGCGAGACTTGGGCGAAATTGGCGATGAGGAATTCACATGGAAAAAAAACCCGCTGATTGTTTGTTGATGGAAAAAGAGGGGGCACCTACCCCTTTTTCACAACAAGGTTTGCACAACCAGGTTTGCTGAATGATCACAAATGGTATACAAAACCGACCCATCATTGCATTTGATGGGGAGTCCGGCCAGCTGCAACTTGTTGTGTACATTTGAGCTTCTGCACTTGTATTGTTGCCGATTTCGCACCATTTGTTGTGTAGGATTTAGCCTACGTACATCTACATGCGCCTGTGTATAATCTTCATATCCGGGTGCAACAGATGGTGCAACTAGGCATCTGGAATACATCTTGGAATACATCTGGAATATCTGCAGCTAAATCCTAATATTATCTGCAGCTGGGCGTTTTTCAGGTGTTAGGTTTTGTTCATTTTCCCTGCCTGGGATGATCGAGGAAAGTATCTGGTGAACCCCATCCCAATGTACGACAAGTACACGGCCACTGGGCGGGCCGAAAGTTGGGCCGAGGCAACGCTTTCCGTAGTCATGGAGATACCCCAACAGCTGAATGGTTTATGATGGAAAATCCACCCAGAAAATGGATGATTTATAATGATTTATATAGGTACCCCCCATTTTCGGAAACCTTCAACTGAAGCCCCAGTGGTTCAACATGGACTGCTGATATAGAATTCATTTGGGGCAGATGAGGGTGCCAACAATCTTGGGGAGACAGAACTTGGGGAATGGAACTGTGAAGTATGTAAAGGTAGGACTTCAGGTAGATGCTTTTCTACGCTCGAATTCATGCCACTTCTTCAGTAGATGAGGCGTGTAGATAGACACAGGTAGACACACTTTTTATTGTCTGACAGCTGGACGCTGGCCAAGCAATCTTGGCACCATGTTAGCCCTGCGTTGGGCCTATGTTGGCCTATGTTGGGCCTATGTTGGCCCATGTTGAGCCATCTTGGGAGCTATGTTGGGGCCATGTTTGGACCATCTATGTTGAAACGATCTTAAGATGCCAATTTTTCCGCCCCGGGCCCCCTCCTGGAGCCCAAAGCCACGTAAAAAAAACAGAGGTTTTGTAACATAAGAACAGCATGGAGCAACCAGTTTCAAAGGGCTGCAGAATGACAATGCCGGACGTCACTTTCTGAAGCCTCTAGAAAACAAGCTCCGGAGCCACGCTGCCAGCGTCCAAACAGCTGGCTCCCCACAGCAAGGCCACGCCGTTGCCTCCCGATGCCCAGCCTCGCCACGCTACCACAGCACCCAGGTGCAGCTTTCACATTGCCCTGCCACGGCCAGGCCTCAGTCCCTTCCTGAAACCTTCGAAAAACATTGCCGATCCATTCGGCTGCCGCCTGATGCCCGGAACGACGCTTTTTCTCTGACGCGCTCCCCCTGCTCATCGCTGGGGTCGGCGGATGAGATATAATTATATATATATACATCTATATATATATGATATATATGTATGTTATGTTATGTTATGTTATGTTATGTTACGTTATGTTATGTTATGTTATGTTATGTTATGTATGTAATGTAATTTAATGTGATGTAATGTAATGTAATGTATTGTAGTGTAATGTAATGTAATGTAATGTAAGTATGTATGTAATGTATGTAATGTATGTAATGTATGTATGTATGTATGTATGTATGTATGTATGTATGTATGTATGTATGTATGTATGTATGTATGTATGTATGTATGTATGTATGTATGTATGTATGTATGTGTATGTGTGTATGTGTGTATGTAATGTAATGTAATGTAATGTAATGTAATGTAATGTAATGTAAGTATGTATGTATGTATGTATGTATGTATGTATGTATGTATGTATGTATGTATGTATGTATGTATGTTATGTATGTTATGTATGTTATGTATGTTATGTATGTTATGTATGTTATGTATGTTATGTATGTTATGTATGTTATGTATGTATGTATGTATGTATGTATGTATGTATGTATGTAATGTATGTAATGTATGTAATGTATGTAATGTATGTAATGCATGTAATGTAATGTATGTATGTTATGTATGTATGTATGTATGTATGTATGTATGTATGTATGTATGTATGTTATGTATGTTATGTATGTTATGTATGTTATGTATGTTATGTATGTTATGTATGTTATGTATGTTATGTATGTTATGTATGTATGTATGTATTTATGTATGTATGTATGTATGTAATGTATGTAATGTATGTAATGTATGTAATGTATGTAATGCATGTAATGTAATGTATGTATGTATGTAATGTAATGTAATGTAATGTAATGCAATGTAATGTAATGTAATGTAATGTATGTATGTATGTATGTATGTATATAATGTATGTATGTTATGGAATGTAATGTAATGCAATGCAATGTAAAGTACTGTAATGTAATGTAATGTATGTAATGTAATGTAATGTACTGTAATGTGCTGTAATGTAATGTAATGTAATGTAATGTATGTATGTAATGTAATGTATGTAATGTATGTAATGTATGTATGTAATGTATGTAATGCATGTAATGTTTGTAGTGTATGTAATGTATGTATGTAATGTATGTAATGTATGTTTTGTATGTAATGCATGTAATGCATGTAATGTATGTATGTATGTAAGTATGTATGTATGTATGTTTGTATGTATGTGTGTATGTATGTATGTATGTACGTATGTATGTATGTATGTAGTGTATGTATGTATGTAGTGTATGTATGTATGAATGTATGTATGTCATGAATGTATGTATGAATGTATGTATGTAATGTATGTATGTATGTACGTATGTACGTATGTACGTATGTACGTATGTACGTATGTACGTATGTACGTATGTACGTATGTACGTATGTATGTATGTACGTATGTACGTATGTACGTATGTATGTATGTATGTATGTAATGTATGTATGTATGTATGTAATGTATGTAATGTATGTAAGTATGTAGTGTATGTATGTATGTATGTATGGTAATGTATGTATGTATGTATGTAATGAATGTATGTATGAATGTATGTATGTAATGTATGTATGTATGTATGTACGTATGTACGTATGTACGTATGTATGTATGTACGTATGTACGTATGTACGTATGTACGTATGTACGTATGTACGTATGTACGTATGTACGTATGTACGTATGTACGTATGTACGTATGTATGTATGTATGTATGTATGTATGTATGTATGTATGTTATGTATGTTATGTATGTTATGTATGTTATGTATGTTATGTATGTTATGTATGTTATGTTTGTTATGTATGTATGTAACGTATGTTATGTATGTTATTTATGTATGTATGTATGTAATGTATGTATGTATGTATGTATGTATGTAACGTATGTTATGTATGTTATTTATGTATGTATGTATGTAATGTATGTATGTATGTATGTATGTATGTATGTGTGTATGTATGTATGTATGTATGTACGTATGTATGTAATGTATGTAAGTATGTAGTGTATGTAGTGTATGTATGTATGTATGTATGTATGTATGTATGTGTGTATGTATGTATGTATGTAATGTATGTATGTAATGTAATTTAATGTAATGTAATGCAATGTAATGTAATGTAATGTATGTATGTAATGTAATGTAATGTACTGTAATGTGCTGTAATGCATGCAATGTATGTAATGTATGTAATGTATGTATGTAATGTATGTAATGCATGTAATGTTTGTAGTGTATGTAATGTATGTATGTAATGTATGTAATGTATGTTTTGTATGTAATGCATATAATGCATGTAATGCATGTAATGTATGTATGTATGTATGTTATGTATGTTATGTATGTATGTATGTATGTATGTTATGTATGTTATTTATGTATGTATGTATGTATGTAATTAATGTATGTATGTATGTATGTTTGTATGTGTGTATGTATGTATGTATGTATGCATGTATGTATGTATGTATGTAATGTATGTAATGTATGTAAGTATGTAGTGTATGTATGTATGTAGTGTATGTATGTATGTATGAATGTATGTATGTAATGAATGTATGTATGAATGTATGTATGTAATGTATGTATGTATGTATGTACGTATGTACGTATGTACGTATGTACGTATGTACGTATGTACGTATGTACGTATGTACGTATGTACGTATGTATGTATGTATGTATGTAATGTATGTAAGTATGTAGTGTATGTAGTGTATGTATGTATGTATGTATGTATGTATGTATGTATGTGTGTATGTATGTATGTATGTATGGTAGTGTATGTATGGTAATGCATGTATGGTAATGCATGTATGGTAATGTATGTATGGTAATGTATGTATGGTAATGTATGTATGGTAATGTATGTATGGTAATGTATGTATGGTAATGTATGTATGTAATGTATGTATGGTAATGTATGTATGTATGTATGTATGTAATGTAATGTAATGTAATGTAATGTATGTATGTATGTATGTTATGAATGTTATGTATGTTATGTATGTTATGTGTGTTATGTATGTTATGTATGTTATGTATGTTATGTATGTTATGTATGTTATGTATGTTATGTATGTATGTATGTATGTAATGTATGTAATGTATGTAATGTATGTAATGTATGTAAGTATGTAGTGTATGTATGTATGTATGTATGCATGCAATGTATGTAATGTATGTAATGTATGTAATGTATGTAATGTATGTAATGTATGTAATGTATGTAATGTATGTAATGTATGTAATGCATGTAATGTATGTAATGTATGTAATGTATGTAAAGTATGTCATGTATGTTATATATGTATGTTATGTATGTATGTATGTATGTATGTGTGTATGTATGTATGTATGTATCTATGTATGTATGTATGTATGTAATGTATGTATGTAATGTATGTATGTATGTATGTAATGTAATGTAATGTAATGTAATGTAATGTATGTATGTATGTATGTAATGTATGTAATGTATGTAATGTATGTAAGTATGTAGTGTATGTATGTATGTATGTATGTATGTATGTATGTATGGTAATGTATGTATGTATGTATGTATGTATGTGCGTTATGTATGTTATGTTTGTTATGTATGTAATGTATGTAATGTATGTAATGTATGTTATGTATGTGATGTATGTATGTATGTATGTAATGTAATGTAATGTAATGTAATGTAATGTAATGTATGTATGTACGTATGTATGTAATGTATGTATGTAGGTATGTAATGTAATGTAATGTAATGTAATGTAATGTATGTATGTATGTATGTATGTATGTAATGTATGTAATGCATGTAATGTAATGTATGTAATGTTAAGTATGCATGTATGCATGTATGTATGTATGTATGTATGTATGTTATGTATGTTATGTATGTAATGTATGTAATGTAGGTTATGTATGTTATGTATGTGATGTATGTATGTATGTATGTAGGTATGTATGTATGTATGTATGTAATGTATGTATGTATGTAGTGTAATGTAATGTAATGTAATTTAATGTATGTAATGTATGCAATGTATGCAATGCATGTAATGTATGTAGTGTATGTAATGTATGTATGTAATGTATGTAATGTATGTTTTGTATGTAATGCATGTAATGTATGTAATGTATGTAATGCAATGTATGTAATGTAATGTAATGCAATGTCATGTCATGTCATGTAATTTAATGTAATGTAATGTAATGTATGTAAGGTATGTATGAATGAATGTATGTATGTAAATATGTGTTTTTTGCTATACAATAGTTTATTATTTTAATACATACGTTATACATATATATTAGAGTAGTACATGATTCCATCAAAAAGACAGGCTCCCGGTGACTTCCCGGGTGACTTTCCAGGTGAAATTACGTGTGCGCTGGGTTGATGAGGCGCCTCCCAGGCCACTGAGCCAAGGTGTGGAAAGCGGTGAGGGGATTTCAGGTGTATTTTATGGGGCTTAAGCCACAAACATGGTGATTTCACCTGCAAAAATTGTGATTTAGCCAGCAAAAATGGTGATTTAACCAGCAACAATGGTGATTTCACCAGCAAAAATGATGATTTAAGCAACAAAAATGGTGATTTAAGCAGCAGCAATGGTGATTTCACCAGCAAAAATGGTGATGGAACCATGACAAATGGCGTGAAGACATCAGGTGGTGACAAGTCTGGGGATATAATAGGGATAGTACAATGGGATATTGATGTAATGTTGATGGAGAGAGAATAGGATAATATCTGGATGGCACAAACTAACGACCTCACATCGCGACGTCACCACGTAGATGAATGTTAGGATGAGGGTGACTATCTCAAAATAGCCAAACTTTTCAGATTAATGAAAGATAGTAAGATATCCAAATGGATCGATATCACTGGATATAGAACAAAACATATTACATTATTACATATTATATACCACCATAAATCCCAGCTCTTTTGGTGTTCACCAGGGTATCGGGGGATTTGACTCATACCCAAAGTACTTGTGGAGTTTTCCGTTTTCATGTGTTTAATCTTTTTTCGATTGCTATGCTTGTTTACAAGAGGGTTTCGCTGCAGTTAAATCGAAGGCCCCAAACGCAGATGAAGTAGTCTTGGAAATACCTTGAATCCGCAGGATCGCGTAGTCTTTCAGTAATGTTTGGGGTCCAGCTTACAAATCCAAGCCAATTTCTCAAGGCAGATTGGTTGACATATTTTGTTTTTTTTGTGCCTCATTGGCTGGTAAAACCTTCACCATATACATCCGCCATTTTGGAATAAACCATCCCCACCCGTCATTGCACCCAAACGAGCAATGATGTGCATATGCCATGAGATTTTACTATTGCACATCCAAACTTAGTCACGTGCACATCAAACGCATAATAGATAATATTATATATATATACACATGTATATTCACGTTTAAACAACATATGTTGTGCTAATTTTGGGGTGAATACCTCCCGCTGATTCAACCCCATGGCTGTGGTCGTCAGGTGAGGCTCGCGGTGTGAACCGCGGTGAGGTGAACCGAGAGGGTCGTGGTGAGGGTCCCATCGTTGCCATGATGAAGGAGGTGAAAGACGCTGAGACGGAGAGAATCAGCGCAGCTTCTGTATATGGGTTGCTCCAAGTTTGACGGTACATGTTTGATGGTAAATGGGTCATGGGATGGTGAAAAACTTGAAAAAGACTGGGTACATATAGGATATATAGGTAAATGATAGTCCCTTTTGAGGGGTAAATGGGTCATTTTACCTTTATATCTACCCAATTCACTCGCTCGTACCCAGGGTGTTTGGAGCATGGTTGTAATCATTCCATTGAATAGGATGAAATTATGACAACTACAATGAAATTGGGTCTTTAATGGGAGGAAGTTAACCAAGAAAATGAGGATATACTGGGGTTGAACCCACCAAAATGGGAATTTACAGTCATGTATTTCACAAACAAACATATGGGATGAAATGGTGAGTTGGCCAACAAGATAAGATATGGGGATACCATGGTTGAACATATTAGACCAAGGACCCTCGCAGAATTTGTTATTTAATTGCCTTCCGCAAGCCGCCGGCCATAGAGAGGTGGCCCCAAGGGAGTTGATGTGCATTCTAGGTGGAAGCCCGCGACAGAGAAGAAGAGAAAAGAAGGAGAAGAAGAAGAATAAGAAGAATAAGAATAATAAGAAGAATAAGAAAGGAAGACGAAGACAAAGCCGTAAAACGGAAGCGGCTTGTGTAGCAAGGTTTGCTGTAACAACCTATTGGCCGTATACCAAATTAGTACCGCCCCCAGCAAAGTAGCGCCAGGTACTATGTATGAGCCTCTGGCTTGACAGCAGACCGCTGCATGGAAGGAGACAGGGGAGAGAGATTGCCCCAAGGGATGTTGACGGTTGACGTGCACGCTAGGTGGAAGCCTGAGAGAAGAAGAGACGAAGACAGAGCCGTAGATCAGAAGCAGCTCGAGTAGCAAGTGCGTGCTTGAACAGCCAATGGAACGCATACCAAATGAGTACTGGTCGATCAGTACCGTGTGCGTCCTGTGACGAGTACCTGTAGAGGACGGTAGTGTTGTAGGCAGTGTCATTAGCTACCGGCACTACCACTATACTACTTGGGGAAGAAGGGAGGAAGGAGTAGAGGAGTAGAGGAGTGGAGTAGGCGTCGGAGTAGGCACAGGAGTAGGAGTAGGAGTAGGAGTGGCGGCGGCGGTGGCGGCGGTAGTAGTAGTGGTAGTAGTAGTGGTAGTAGTAGTAGTAGTAGTGGTAGTAGTAGTGGTAGTAGTAGTAGTAGTAGTAGGAGGAGCAGGAGCAAGAATAGAAGAACAACACCTTACAATCAGACACGCCGGCAGGCCGGCTAATTTTCTTTTCATACTACTATACATATAGATATATAGGCCCTCGTCCCCCCATTTTTGGCAGTCGGCAGTTTGACCCCTCCCATACGGCCTTGAAGACTGGTGGCCGAAGTGTTTGATGGAGATCTAACCTCTGGCAATCAAACACGGCAATGGGACATCTCGTACAAATGGAGGTCTTAATGGGAACATGATCTACATATGATGGATTTTTCATTGCCACCTTTGATTACCCCAGGGTATATGTGTTATTGGTTTCCCGTAAGATAAATCCATCACTATTGATCCAAACATCCAGCTTGGGGAGGTTTCCTCAGACAAGAAATGCGTATTTATACGTGTTTACCTAACAAATATGCGAACTCAACCAGCATGCTTGTTGAAACGAGATTGTATACCGACTATAGTTATGTTAATGGGGATTGTGAACAAAACGAACATGGGAACTCCTCAGCCAGAAGGTTGGGGATGACAGAGAATTTGGGGCAGTGCTCACATGGATTTGGTGTGGAATTTTCTTAGGAATCGCAGAACAGTCAGGAGACTAAGATGCAGTAATTCAATCGACCAAAACTGAGTATGTAGCCACCAACAATAGATACACGGAGAAGTCTTGCAAGTACAACAGACTACTGGTAGCAGTAGAACTACCAGTTGGAACTTGGAAAACCTTCAGCTTTTGCTAAATGTCAGCTCCTGATTGCTGCCATCAAATGCTCCACTAAATGGAGGTTTGATTATCGTACATGAGTGAACCAATGGGCAGTGCTTGTTCCATTTTCGTCACCTTGGGCCATGGGGTCCCAGGAAGTCTACGAATTGCAGAAGCAGCTGCTGCTGCAGGCGCAGGCGCAAAGCAAGGCGGCCCAGTAGCTTGGCCGCTATAACCGGCTGAATTGGTATACCAGTATACCAGTGAATAACAATTGATAGCGATTAGTGGTGATGAATAGTGAATCATAGTGATGCTGTTTACTTTGGTAATTCATGTTTTATGATGCTTAATGCATGGCGAATAATGATTGATGATGATTCATGATAATGATTACTGATAACACGTTCATGACTATAGGATTGCCGAGGAATATTAAATCTTGCTAATGGGTTTCTAATCATTCTCCAGGCGTTGCCACAAATATAGAACGGAATTAGGAGTACAAACGTACGCTAAAATACCGTACTTTCGTACTCCGGATCCCGATTCCGCGTGGATTCGGATCCTGTTCTATAATTATAAAATTTGTGGCTGTTCTATTGTTCTATAATTGATTTTTGCTCCTACCACATAAAAGCCCTATATGTAAGGTCTATGTAAGGGAATATTGCCATACATACCCCAAAGAATGTGGCCGTATATGGTACAGTACACACCTCGGTGCTCAAATTCCCATTGAAACCACCGGCAACACACAGATTGTATGAGTTTTGGAGGTCACTTACATGTATTTACATCATTCTATGTATCTTTCTGGGACACCGGAAGACTGTACATAGAAACCAGACTTATAGAACACGCAATTAGAGAACAGAATTGGTAAATGTGAGAAATATGGGGGAAACCACAAATATGGAACACAAACAAGAATTATAGAATGACAAAAAAGTTAGGAGTAAGTTGAGAGTAGGTTGTTTCCCAACGTTCTGAGGAAACAGGAATTATGGAACAACACGGTACAGTAAACAACCGTAATTTCGTACTCCTCAACTTCCGTTCTATAATTGTGGCAACCACCATAAATCTATATAGAATTCAATTGTTATCGCCTATGAATCTATGAGCCATCTTCTGTAGCTGCCTGTTCAATAACAAGAGAGTAATGGATTAATGTCACCCTGAGGCCTTAGGCTGTTTAATTCTGGTGGTACCAACGAAGAAATTCATGGGCTCATTCATCCAGGTTTGACATTAATCCATCTCCTGTAATATCGATTAGTGTATCATATACAGAAACATGGTAAAATATTGATAAATATTTACGTATAATATATATATATACTTAATAGATACGTTACTATCCCAGTACTCGCTAACAAATCTATAGTCCATGATTCTCTAGTAAATTGATATGACATCTCCCCATGGTATCCGAAGGATAGCCCCGAAAAAACCTGGACGGACCCCAAGTCCACCTTAGTTCGTTCCAACCTGTCATATTATCAAATTGCATCCCACTATGTAGTCATTCTCGTTGGGTGAGTTTACATCACTATTTATTAAGGTCTGTTTGTCGACTGCTGGCCAAATTCCCCAATATCGTCGTGTATATAAAACATGTATCTGTAGCTCCACCTGTCTCTGCATCTATTTAAGTAAGTACAGTATATAAGTACCTATCTAAGTATCTGCAGGATGGCCACGGTTTGGTTCGGGTCGGTTACGAGGAACCTAGCCGCAAGCCCAACAAGGGTCGAGTGGTGCTTTTGGTTGCGGAGGTTGGTTGCAAGGGGGCCCTAGCACCATCAGCTTTCTCCGTAATCTTCGGCAGCGATTGTCGAGGATGGGCGGATGATTTTTTCCAGATATTCATGATCTTCTCCATTCGCCCCGTGGTCTGTCCATCGTTCTGAGAACGCGCTGTGTTGCGGAACGCAGCCGTTGCACGCGCTGATGAAGCTCAAGTGCCGAACCTTCGTTCGTGAAGCTTGAGCAGGACCGTGGTGGGCTGAAAGGCTTGGAGTGAAGTGGTTGCCGGCATTGGTGCGGCTCAGATTACATCAACAGAAAAATCACAAACGGTGATTACAGCAAGTGCAGACGGTCCAGTCGAGGTTCCTTGGCTTTTTGTGTCAATAATTAATGTGTTGGTCTGAAAACTGGTGATCCCCAAACTAGATGGTTTCTCATCATGCTTTTCATATTTAGAGATGAAGAGATACGACCGGAAAAAGTTTAAAACATGTCCGAAAATCTGAGGAAAGCTATTAGAATCTCATTCTGACATATATATTGCCGTGGCCGGATGGAATGTCACATATCCTATCCCATAAAATGAAAGTAACCCTGCATGTCTCCCACTATGGCTGGTAAGTCCCATGAAATTAATAACCTGGGATTTGCTTTCCCTTGGATATTTGCCGGACGTGATATCTACAATTTGCCCATGTGGTCATCCGTCGCCTTTCCAACCTTAGAGCGGGCAAACTTCTCTACAAATCAGTCCTTGTAGTTCCATCGTCCATCCCCATAAGGTTTCCTTTACCCATCTTCGGTCTTCAGCGGTCTGCTCACATGACAGGTCGTGGTAGAAAGCTTCATGTGGTGCTATCAGCTGCAGCCGAAACAAGGGATTTGGCCCATGGTGCTGTGAGACACCTTTTAATTTAATAGATCTTTCCGGCCGTTCTAGTAGTTGGTTGTGTAACCTACAAAACTGGTTCGATTTTAGATTTTGCTCCGGTTCGGTCCTTGCGAGGTTCGGTTCATGTTCGGTTCGGTTAAGCCGCAGCCGGTTGACCGGTTTCCGGTTCCATTTGCCGGCCATGTATTTGTCTAGGTACCTACCGAAGTATCTACTAATCTAACCTATCTACTCGACCTGATCTATCTAACTACTCAATCTAGCTACATACCTACCCACCCACCTATCTAAGTATCTGTGTAAGTATTGATCTAATCTACCCAATCTGTTTACTCTATCTATTCCGTACTGCCCCGACAGGCTTACCAAGCGGATCTCCGACTGTTACCAGAGGACAGCTGGATCCGCCCGGACCTCAACTACATACACACGATGTTTGTCGGGTTTGTTTGGGGGACCTGACCCGGCCTCGAGGCTACACGGATCCACTGACTTTGGAGAGCTGGTGGCACAAAGGTGTCACCTGGGCGTGGGAACGTGACTTCTATCTTGAGGTCTGATATATGAAGCATTAAACATCTGTTGGTTATATGTAGGTAGAGAGAAAGGTATATATATATATATACATATGACATATTGTCTTTTATACATATATATATATATGCAGATGTTATTGAATGAGGCGGTGTTCGCCACAGAGGGAACCTAACAAACAAGCACGGACAAAGAAGAAATAGTAGCCGTCAGAAAGAAGTCACGTTCCCCAAGGCCCAATCCAATTGTTTCATTGCCGGCCAAGCAATATATGTAGTTTGTCCAGAAAGCAGAATGAAAACATCTACGGGTATTGGTTCGTCTCTTGTTATATATTGCTTGCAACGGCCTAGCAGGACTTATCCACAGACACCGCTAGGTCGTTGACGCCGCAGACTCAAGGCAATCGTCGTCAAAAAAGGGAATTGGGGCCACCATTTGGGAACGCTCTTGGAACCTTGGTCCACGAACAAGAAAATCAACACGGCCGTTGGAAGAGCCTTGTGCACATGAACCCAACGACATTGCGATCCTATCTGCAGCTTACCTCAGCTCAAGCACGACAAAGAGTCCATTCGGTCTCGCGGCGCCTGCGAGACTGCAGCGTCGGGTGCTCAGCTTATGGCCTTGGCCCAGCATCAGGGCCACGTCAAAGTCTCACATGGCACATGCAACGAGGCCAATGCCAAATACTAAGAAGCGGCCACCGCCGGCCGACGAAGAATCGCAACCTCAGTAGCGCCTCCTGCCGGTTGTGCTTTCCGAGATTAAATTACAATCTACCAAGGCCCATCGACGTTCCTTGGAAATTTCGGCGACGGCCGAAGCAGCCGGCGATCCGCTACAAGAAGGCGAGGCGCGGGGCGTAACACGACTCAACCGTTCGAAGCACGAGCTCTGAATGTTTGAGGTTACCATTGACCTCGGGGGTTGGCTTCATTGTCTTGCAGGAGGCGCCTAGTCAGGTTTGCGTGGCATTGGTTCGAAGCATTCCTCGCGCTTGCAGGTCTACACCCCCAGCCGCAACGCCAAAGATCCGGCTCCGCCGCAGGGTTCAGGCGGGAAGCCGATTAGTTCCTTCAGGCATATGAAGCCGATGTATAGACTACCGTTAAGCTCACTTTCTGCTGGGACTGCCAGGATAGCACGGGAACGCGGCTGCGGCGAGCAGCGAGTGCGATAAACCCGTGAAAAAAAAACAACAAATGAATCTGCCTGCCGACCCACCCAACTATCGCAGGCAATGATTCATCAAATGGTAGTTGCACCCCATAAAAAAAAGCTGGCCAACAAAATACACATTTTATACATTATGCAAACGCCCATCATGATTCTTACGCCATCCATGAATACCTACATGTGTCGCACATATTTCATACCATTACTTTTCTTACGATGGTTTTTATTATGATTGTTATCCTTCTATTTTTTTTGTTCTTATTTCCCTTGGTAGTAGTTTTTATACGCTTGCTACAGTGGTAGCTCGACCCAACAGGGGATAGATATCCTTATTCCCATAAACACCACACGTGGGATTGTCCCCTTATTGTTTTTATTTTAACTCATGTTGGTATATCTGTATTACATACATGATATTTAACCAATGGCTTCCTGGGGTACACCCAGCATCTACAATGGAATAAAGCTATTGACAAAAATTGCGAAAACAATTTCTATAACAATAACAATGTTTCGTAATGGTATCAAAATCATACAACAAGTTCAGTCATAATAAGTTGCAGTTATCCCTCTGGTAATCAAACATGGTGTGCTGGAAAACGCACCATTTAGTATTCTCGATTGTCATGAATCCAACTATTTAATTGTGATATCACCAGTCTGGCACCAGTATAATCAATCCCGGCATCATCCCGGTATAACACCATTTGTTGGTTAAATCATCATGTTTCATGGTTTTTGACACCAATTCTTTATTGGTTAAATCCTCATGTTTGTTGGGCAAATCACCAAGAACACAATTAAATTACAATTTTTGTTGGTTACATCACTATTTTGTTGGTTAACCCGTTGGTCCTTCATTTCTCTTCGTCAAATCGCTTTGTCCAAGGCATGAACTGCGCTGCGCCCTGCTGCGTGCAGAGCGCGCAGAGCAAGACACCCGCTGGGTGGCTGCGCCCCTTGGATTCTCCCCGAGGCGGGAGGCTTGAGAGGTTCAAAAGAAAAAACAATGAAAAAGTATAAAAAGTATGGGTAGAACTATGGGGCTGTCCCGAAAATTTCTTCTGGACATCCATGGAACACCTCCGAAAGTGGCTGAAACTTGTGGACATAGAAGAAATCAACCACCCTGGGAAAACGGAGAAAGATGCACATCACATTGTAAAGATCCCAAAAACCATGGAAAACCCTGAGAACAATCTGGAAACCCTTTAAACATAGTGTGTTCCAATGGTTCAAAAGCACCTGAATCACAGATTCTGCGCCGTAAGTTGCTCTGTGAGCGTTGAGTGCACCGCTTTGTTTCTGTGCCTGGTCCTCTCGCGCCGGCAAAGCCCGCGCGTTGGCGAATTCCGCAAATGGAGGATGAGGCGACAAAAAATTCTACGTGGGCGGATGTCGGCGGAAAGCTGTCAGGGAGAATGTTTTTGGGAACATATATTTTGGATAGAACATCGGGGCCAGATCGGCACATCATTTTGACCAACAAACCGCGAGCAGAAAAAATATAATTGGCCGAAATCTCCAACTGAGGGGGCACCAACTGAGCTGATGATTTTAAGGTGCCTAAACCATCCCTTTTCGGTGTACCCTCCGCTCATCAAACATAGCAATGGTAAACCCTTCATTCCCCACCTGCCTTATGATGGCCTCTAGATTTTATCAGACTTACTCGCCTCCTCCTCTCCTCTCCTCTACTTTCCTCTCCTCTCCTCTCCTCTCCGGGCTCCAGATCTCGGACCTCAACCGACCTCAACCGCAAGCTCCAGATCTCAGTCAGATCTCAGTGGGCAATGCCGGACGTCCGAGCTCCAGATCTGAGGGCAGTGCCCATGTCAGAGAGAATGTCAGAGTAGATGCCAGATAGAGTGCCAGAATGGGATGTCAGATAGAATGCCAGAAAGAATGCCCGAACCACAGTAGATGCCAGATAGAATATCCGAAAACAATCCAGAGATAATGTCAGAATAGATGCCAGGAAGGATGCCAGATAGGATGTCAGAATAGATGCCAGATAGAATGCCAGAAAAGAAGGCACGGGGGTCGCATTTGCCCCTACCTCATGTGGGGTCGCACTTGCCCCTAGTCAAGGTGGAGGTAGGGGCGGACGTGACCCTAGGGTAGGGGCGAATGTGACCCCACCTCGTTTTGCGTGGCAGGCGCAAAAGCTTCGGAGTCTCGAAAGGATTGTTTTGCAGCTGTGACAGTCAGTTACAGCGTCTTTTTCCAGTGTTACGGTTGTAACATCCATTTCAAGTAACTCCCAAAACGCTGTGGATGCTACGTTGTAACATCCATTTCAAGCAACTCCAAGACACTCTGGGTGCTACGTTGTAACATCCATTCCAATCAACTTCCAAGACACTCTGGATGCTACGTTGTATCAGCCATGCGAAGCAACTTGGAAGACGCTGTGGATGCTGCGTTGTAACATCCGTTTCAATCAATTTTCAAGACTCTTGTGATGCTACGTTTTAACATCCATTTCAACCAACTTCCAAGAGGCTTTGGATGCTACGTTGTATCAGCCATGCGAAGCAACTTCGAAGACGCTGTGGATGCTACGTTGTAACATCCGTTTCAATCAGCTTCCAAGATGCTCTTGATGCTACGATGTAACATCCACTTGAAGTCACTTCCAAGACGCTCTGGATGCTATGTTGTAACACCCATTTCAATCAGCTTCCAAGACTCTCTGGATGCCACGTTGTAACATCCATGTGAAGCCAGTTCCAAGATGCTATTGATGCTACGTTGTACCATCCACTTGAAGTCACTTCCAAGATGCTCTGGATGCTATGTTGCAACATCCATTTCAATCAACTTCCAAGACGCTCTAGATGCCACGTTGTGACATCCATTTGAAGCCAGTTCCAAGATGCTACTGATGCTACGTTGTAACGTACATTTGAAATCAGTTCCAAGACGCTCTGGATGCTACGTTGTAACATCGACTTGAAGTCACTTCCAAGACGCTCTGGATGCTATGTTGTAAGATCCGTTTCACTCAAATTCCAAGACGCTCTGGATGCTACGTTGTAACATCCGTTTCCATCATGTGTTGTTGCAATGTCTGTGAGGACGACGCTTTCATTGCAGTGATTTTTTTGCCAGAGGTAGCAGATGTGTTTGATAGCCAGTGGTAACTTAGATGTAGTGTAATGTACACATGTAAAAAGGCAAGTGAACCCGTTCCCCCCTAACTAATGTCCCCACGTCCCGCCCCAACCAATGCGCCCAGGTCCCCCCTAAATGCCCCTTGTCCCCAGATCAAACCCTAAAAGCTTGAGTGACTTGTTCAATGGTGAGGCAAGTGACCCAACCAATGTCCCCAATTCATTCCCTCCCTAACCAATGTCCCCAAGTCCCCCCTAAATGTCCCTTGTCCCCCAGGTCAAACCCTTAAGGTTGAATGACTTGTTCAAGGGCGAATGTGACCCTGGGGCGAATGTGACCCTGTGGTAGGGGCGAATGTGACCCCTGTCGCGCTATTCAGAATAGAATGTCAGATAGAATTCCAGAGTAGAATTTCAGAAAATATATTCCGTATATACTTCCAGATGAGATGTCAGAAACTATGACAAAATAATCTGTCACGGTGGGGATCACTCTAAGTAAGGTAATTTGTAGAATATTTTCTTATTCAATCAGATTAATACCGCCATGTATAGGGAATTCCCCATTGCCACGTTTGAATACCGGAGGGTACACCCGATTTGGGCCAAACCGTTGGCCTTGAACCCAGCTTGTTGCATCATCCCGGCGGGCAACTGAACAGATTCTCCGGTATTAGTTGCCTAACGGCCTAACGGTCTTAGATGGACGAAAATTAGTGGTTTATAGGCATTTATAGGAATGGCAACAGCTATGTTAAGGATCAAATCGGAACCCGGGAGACTTTTTGAACCCTTTCTGGAGCAAATATGTAAAGATGCTGATTTTGTATGTTTTTGTGGCCAAGATTTTCCACTCGCTTGTAGAAACGGTGGTGAATTTTGTTCAAATCCAAACCTGCCTCATGAGCGAGGACAGGATGTACAGCCACCAAAGTCTGGTTTCAAACCAAGGAAAATGCAATTTGCATGTTCCACGGATTGTATCCCTACTACCAGTCATTCACTGACGGGAATTCGGAATTTTGCCATGACCGCGAGGATGCACCATATTCGACATCATCTCCCCAATACCCTGGTGTTGATGCCGGATTTATCCGTTGCACATATCAAAAGTCAGGTCCTTGCTTGAACCAACATGTTGGTAGCGCCGCCCTGTGGCGTCCGATTTCTGAGGCGTACTTTGCAGATTCAGATGTTGATCACCTGTTTGTGCCATGGACTGGTTGAGATCTGGGAGATTCTAGCCCCATGATTCCGACATTTTTAAATTCGCCTGGATGATACGCAAACATCCATTCACCAGGCAATTTGTTGGGGGCATGCTAGTTCTACCCCTAATCCCACTCGCATGTGATTACCACATGCTTCTATGAGATTTTACCTAGATTTTTGGCTTGTGTTCTCATTATCGGGTCATACTATGTCATCCACAGCTGAAAACCAAGATGCAACACCCAAACAAACGGCTTTGGAGAACAATTTTTTCACTCCTCAGAACTGACATAGCCAATATTGGAGGGACGTGCTGGACATTTCGAGGCTCATCAAGTAAATTGCATCGAAGGTGGAATCGTTCAGCACCAAAAATAACCATCCAAGACTGGATTTCTGTTATTTTTGGGCAACTCACGGCAACCCGCAGATTTCTAAGCAACTCATGGCAATTTTCTAGGGGTTCCAGGGATTTTCCAGGTTTTCTCCCCCTAAGAAATCACTTTGGCTTCTCTGTTCTCAGGTGCCCCATGCGGCCCTGATGCCTGGAACCTTGGCTTTGATCATTACCGCCTCGTATGGCTCTACCTTCAAAGGCACCGGGTGGCACCGGGTGGAGCGAACGGTTTCCAAAATGTCACGTTTTAAAAGAGTTATAACTTACAAATGAGAAAACATTAGACATATTTAAGACTTGTAGTTTTTCACAGGTCACAAAGTGAATAACTATGTTTTATGGTAGATAGAACTATAGATGCTATATAGTCATATAGTAAATAGATGTAAATTGGGGTTAAAAAACCAGACAATGAACGGGGGGGACCCAGCTTGTAACCCCCAAAGAAATATAGAAATATCAGTTAAAGACTTGTAGTATCTGATAGTTATAGGGGATACTTTTTCGGTATCACTTCTAAGCCTTGTAGTAACCTCGGTGATAAGTTGATCTTGGAAAAATTATAGACTTCTAACATCTTCAGTTATAGATTCATTGGTAAATCTCCCGTTGTGAATGGTACCACGTGGGGCCCCACGACTAAGTTGGTTCAGTTTGCATTCGGTGAATTCTATGGTTTCTGGTAAATAGAGTTATATGCTATAGTCAATGGGGGTTGTAAACCAATGACTGGGGGGACCCACCTTGTAACCCCCAAAAATATAGAGTTATTGTTTTAGCTCCTCGCTCGTTAAGTTGAGTAATATAAGTATAGAATATCACTATCTATACAGTATAGTCTAGATGCTACATTACACAACATTACGCTACACTAATTACACTACACTACAGCTGCAACCACAACTACAAGCACAGCTACAACTACAACGACACTACATTACACTGCACTACGCTAATTCCACTACACTATGCTAATTCCACTACGCTACGCTACGCTACATACACTACACTAACTACAGCTACAACTACAACTGCACTAGACTAACTACGCTACGCAACACTACACTACATTACATTACACTACACTTTTTACACCACACCGCAACTAGTACTTTAATTACAACTACGCTGCACTAATTACACTATACTACAACTACAATTCCACCACACTACAACTACATCTAAAGCTGCGCTGCAGCAAACTACATCCAGCAGTTGTGGGTGAGGTGACCACTGCAACCATTGCAACCATTCCAAAAAACACAACTCCAACCACCTTTCGGTCCATCAGTGGGTTCGCTCTGCCATCCATGCGTCACAACAACTCACCTCTCCTATAGCGTTCTATTTTTGAAACTTCCGCCACTGCCTTGTGTGGCACTATTGGTATTCAGGGTGGTCGAAACTCGCAGAAGCAAAATGGAGAGTACTTTTGGGATTATCTTTTAGGACTGGGAGAGATGAGGCTCCCTTTCTGATGTGCATTGCACGAACAGGGTTTGACTCTACTCCTCATAGTAGATGGCCGCTTTGATTTTCAATATTCCGATGGAAACCCAGCGAACATATGTGCAGAATTTCCATGTAATTTCCAATTTTTTTTGGAGGAACACAAACTTGAACTCAAATATTCTTGTAACTTCCTTGCAAGATCAAAAAGTAGCTATGCTATTGGCAACTCAAAAGGCTGGGAGGTTGCCCTCATTCTTACTGCCAGCGCAGCTCCACGAAAACGGCCCGGAGGCAACATCGATCGTTTGATTGGACTGGTGCCGCAGCTTTGGGGGGACAAGGGGACAAAGAACTCGGAGCGAGATACTCGCTGGAGTCCTTTTCATGGATGGGTTTTGAATCAGAGATCCAACAAGAGCTTCGGATTGGGGTCATTTGGAAAAATCCCTTCCCCCTAATATTAGGTACCTCTTAGCAACCCTGGTTTCGTATTGGATTTGTCTTCCATGTTGGGGAATTTACTACAGGTGGAAGGGATCATTGAATCTCAAGCCATCTGGATTTGGTTTGACACTTATCCATGTCCTCAAATTTGAGTATCGCATCCGTAATTTGCCCGAAAGACCTGCCCCCAGTATTCTTTCATCCTCAACCTATATGGAAACTTTGCAGCATTTTCGATGAAACCACCTGATTCTATAGATAGGGCTGTACTCGGCGTTTTTTTTCATGAATAACTCTCCATTTGATACCAGCAATTCATCGAATTGATTTCGACAAAAAATCAAATGGTCACGATTCGATTTTCTATCAAAAAACGTGATGCTGATCCCAATAATGCGGTAAACCTCATCATCCACCAGGGAAGGTTGTGGCATCCGAATGGTACTGCAGGTGCTGGGCAATGTGATCCCATTGCTGGTCTTGGCTGTTGTCTTCTCGCAGCCTGGTGAAACAGGCTGCAGAGATTCAAGTTCAGCAGGGGTTTGATATTATTTGAAGAGATTTTAGGCAGTTATATAAATAATATTTACCAACATTATACGTAACTCAACTTGGAGGCAGTTATATAAACATTAATTACCTTTTGGTCACTAAATTGAACGGATAACTGTTTTCTTCCTTTTTGGGAATTCTCATCACGTTTTGATGATTAAACAATGGTCAACGTCACCCCAAAACTGGAGGATTTCTCAAGAACCATGTCGAAGCAACGAACATGGGAAGTTAAGCACAAAATTACGGTGATATTACAAGCAAGAAAGCGAGCTGAGTCATCAAGTGACAGGCATATAGCCTATATAGCTAGCAAATCATTGGCATTTCAGCAGAAAAGATGTGACCAACAGAGGGATGTGATATGATGTGACCAACAGAGGGATTGAAGAATTCGATCAGTTTGATTCTCAGAAACACCTGGATTTGCTGAGTCGATTTTTGGTTTTTTTCTGAAATTTCCTGAAAAAAATGGCAATGATTGAAATCTGGGCCTGCAGAAATCTGGCCTGCAGATAGGGGCTATTGACATACTATTGATAGGTAAATTGGGCCCCATACTATTGATCATACTTGATGTGTCCATGAATCATCTCACCATTGTTAGTCCCATTTTTTGATGGTTCCACACAGTTCAGCTCCTAAATTTTGACCTGATTTCCAAAGCTATTGTTAGCTGCATCTCTCATTTCATGACGACTGATTTGGTTCAGCCTTATATCTCAATTTCTAGTTGAAAACATCTTGTTTTGATAGTAAAGCCATCATTTTTAATTGACTAATTCCGAATGTTTGTTACTCAATCCACAGTTCAGTTTTTAGGTGGTCCAGGTGCAATGTATCTGTACTAAGGATACACTTGATTGCATAGAGAGCCTTTGCGAATTCCCCAAACATGTGATATCCCCAAGTTTCTGCTGGTCAATTCATGTTAGTTCCCCATACTTTTTTGTGGCTTGACTCCCTGCTGTGATTATTCTTTATTGGCGCTCGATCCTCCAAACTTTTCCACGCTTGAGTTGCTTACATCCTGCCTTTGGATACCCAAATTTGTGTGAGTTAATTGAACCTCCGAGCTTTTTGGTGCATTGAAACCATTTTCAAGTATATATTTTGAAGTGAGTCCCAAAAATTGTGAGTTGCTTAAATCCTACACTTCGGTCAATAAACTCCACTGCATCCATTGAGGTCCATTAAGATCCATTATATGTAAAATCCACTGAAATCCCTTAAAATCGATTAAATTCCCAAGTTTCTATGAGCTACACCACCATTTTTAGTTGGTTCCCCTTAGTTCTTGCCCCCTCAGGTTTGACTGTGCCTCTTGGATGCGTACCGTGACGCAAAGCACCTCGGTCAGAGTTGGGGGAAGAATCCGAGAATGATATATATGCATGCCATGGTCAAGCTATAGCAACCCTCAAAACGATAGAAAAGTAACATAAACATACATAAACATCCTATTGAAATACATAGTGGTCAATCACTTTTCTATCTTTTTGGTGCTAGAGTTGGATTGTGTAGCCAGTTCTTGGGATGAAGTTAAGTGGAATCATCGATCCATTTTCATAGGGATGGTCATATCATTCACGGACTATTCATAGTGCTTCATTACCATATTCATATGTGTTTCAACCAGTCCAATATGTCTAGAATCGTCGTTGGAAGGTGGTTGACTTTCGTCTAACAATCCTGATCGCGTTTGGATCCAGAAACTCTGATAGGTGGTTGCATTTTTTCTCTTTTTTTCTCTATATTTTGGGGATTGGTGGATCACCTGTGACTCTATGACTAATGTTGAGACTGGTGGCTCTACCAGTCAGTATTCCATGATTTTTTTCACTAAAAACACGAGAGAACCAACAACAGGTGGGAATGAACCAGCAAAAGTTAGGGTGTTACTAAGAAGAAATCAACATAAATCAACTGTCAAGGACCGAATATTGTTTCTTCATGAGCTGAGACCATATTTGGGATCAACAAGAAGAACTAGGCATTTTGCAGCAAGATTGGTGCATAGGGGGTGAAGCAACATGCACCCCTGAAGGCTAAGAAGTGAGATTGCAAGAGGACTTTTCGGACATGGACATTACATGAAATTGCAATTCATGGGTTCGATATCAAGCTCCAGTGGTGTGCCTGATATCTATCCAGCAACGATAAAACATGGGATTGACACGGCCATGGGAAGTGGCACCAGCAATGTTGATCTGATTCAAGGGTTATATTGCATTGCCTACCATGACTGATCATTGTCATATTCATCCCGGTGGGGGTCTGCACCCCCAAAATCCCATGGCACCGCCTCCGGATGATAGAACCTTGTTACATCTCATTACGACCTCGTTGTACCCATTATGACGCTCATTACAAGTACATCCCCAGTAAAACGTGTTCCTTTGATTGTTGGGTTTCCAACATCGTCTTCCAACTGCGTTTCTCAGCCAAGGTGTCTTGGTGTTCTTGTACTTCTTGACCTTCTCTTACGTGCCGCAGCCAAATCTGATGATCAGCTGATTTTATGCATCCTTGTGACGATCCCAGCGTTTTCGGGAGACCCAATATTTCAAACCACTGTTTCTGGCAAGGTTTTTTGTGATTAGGGTGAGGATTTCTGTAGTTTTGATTAACTCCATCGGAGGTATGAAACAGATTATGAAACAGGAGTACAACATGATAGATCCATATATATATATACATACATCCATATACATTCATATACAACCGATACTTGGGAAGCCATATGAGGATCCCATCAAGCAAGGTAAATATCTGCCAATTGGATACTATCTTGTGATACAAGGTGGATGGTAAAAGTATATGGGGAGTATCAGATTTGTATATATTATTATAATATATTTATATTAGATATTATTATTATTTTTACTATTATTATTATTATTACTATTATTATTATTATTATTTATTATTATTGTTATATATATATATTATGTCGCTAGGGGGCTGACGTTTGCCCGAAATCCACGGAATTCCATGCGGGACTGCAATCTGCTGTGTTGTTTCTGTGCGTGTTTTTTGCACACTGCGAGCATGCAAGATATTGATATTATCTGCGTCTCATGGCATTTTTGCGCTTACCTAAGACGGTGCACAAATCACCTTTTGAAACGCATCTTAAAGATATCCTCCGTAATTTGCAGCCGCCCAGGAGGGATATATGTATGTATATTATATGTATATATATATATATACATATGTATGTATATATATGTATATGTATATGTATATGTATATGTATATGTATATGTATATGTATATGTATGTATATATATATACATATTATATATATATATACATATGGGTGTGTCTGAAAATGGAATATACCAAAAATAGCTCTTCAGATGGACAATGCGATGAACCATCAATTTTGGGAGTACCCTACTTTCAGAACCCCCCCGCGTATACATATGTATATACATAACTATATAAAGATTACTATATTATAAATGTGTGTATACAGACATATTACAGCATCAATTGATCTTTACTAATTTACTGGGTCTGGTTGCAGGTCTACTACTCCTCCAAGAACTGGGGCTTTGTCGGCTGCGCCCTGTGCGGATTCGGAGCCTACCCCTTGATTCTTGGCACCCAGAGATGGGGTTTTCCTGTTGATCCACCAATTGTGGGCACAAGAGGATACAAAAAGCATCTGTCGATATCTGTCGATTAGCTTCCTATCTTGGGGCCACATTAATGGTGAAAATCTCGAGACGACCGGCCGGGCTTCACCGGCAGAATGAAACCACGTCTCGAGCCACGTCGTTGTTTCAATTCGTGCAAAGCCTCCGTTTCAGCTGGAAACAAGGGATAATTCTACTCGCAAATATATTTTTGAATCATTCAAGTCATTCAAGTGTGGATAAAGCAAACATGAGCGATATCATTTGGTTGATGGTTCCAAATGTTCCAATATTTTTTGCATGCCATCAGGCACGATAGTCCAAGTGACCAGCACATTTTTGGGGGATTCACCTCAAGCAAATGAGCCATGCGACTTTCCCATGCTTGGACAGAGACAAATCACCTTGCAATCAGCTGACATGGGCTGACTAAGGATGGTTTCATGTGACGCATCCGGCACTGGCGAACTTGGTTTCAACTACCACATGAGAAGCGGCTTGGCAAGCGGAGAGATGGACATGACATCAAGCTGTCCGGAGAAACTAGGCCCCTGAAATTACTCAATTTTGAAAATGACTAATTATATAAGTCCATTGATTTCAATTGCCTGAATACAGATTAGTGATTAGAACATATTTGAAAGATACTTCGTGTTACCTTGCCACCATTTTCTCTTTTAACCTGCAACCATGGTCCCGAGTTGGCTATGGACCACGCTGACAAGTCTGTGTAGAGCCACCCGGTGAAGAGTTCCTTTAAAAAATCCAGTGGAATCCAAACCTGAAGGCTGTACAACCGCTGACGCCCACAACGGAACAGTTCGATTTGTAAAGCGTAGGATCACCGATGGCAGGCATCTTTTCTGCGGTGTGTTGATTTACCTGAAGCTTTTGATTCAGAAACTTAATGTTTCAAACCGGCAAACCCACTCATGATATCATAGAACTCGAATTTTGGAGGGTCGATATCAACAAACGAGTTTCTGGCAAAACTATAATGATAGTTTTACCACCCCTGCAACCACTGGATGATTCCCGCACTTTTTCCGGGTGGACTGGAGGCCCCCAAATGGCCCATAGCCATAGCCCGCCCAGGCAACTACAAAATCATCGGACAAACCACCGTGGCCATCCTGATGCGTATGTTGATCGAGCGACTGGCCATAGCAATGGAGGGAGCGGTGCTGAATGGAGTTATGCTTCGACCGTGATTCGATGTTCCCTATTTTCCAATGGGGAGCTGTGAGCTGAGCTAAGAATTGAGTTTCCCAAACACACGTTTTTGAGAAATGAATTCATCTCTTGATTTATAGAATGTTTGCAGACTGAAAGCTCTCAGTTGTAGCGACCCAAAATGATCCTGGCCGAGAATATGATGACAAAAGAGGGCGCCCCAGGCTGCCTTGGATGATACCTGTAGATCCATGTAGGAACATTAGGTGACCAAACCCCCCACAACTAGCAACCCCCCGAAAAGACAGCTGGAAAAAAAGGGTCCCCCAATTTTTCCCGAATGCGTAGCGAAAGGTTCTCGTTTTACTTTGGGGGTCTGGGGGTGGAGACGTGTTCGCTCGATGCCGCTTCTGCGACCGCAACTGTCGGCAACCGTCCGCAACCGTCGGCAACCGTCGGCAACCGTCGACAACCGTTCGCAATGAGGTCGCTATGGCCGTGCCTGTGGCGAGTTCTGCAAACGTGGTTACTTTTGGAGGTTTCAAACGTCGCGTAGCCTCGTTTCACGTGGCAGGGGTGGCACTATGTGACATTGTAACATGTTTCATAACGTGTCGAAAGTCGTTTTGTGTGACAGGCGCAATACTGTCGCGTCGTTTTCAGAAGATAAGTTGCATTTTTCGTGGCAGGCGCAGCACTTTGGAGAACTCCATCGTCATTTTGTCAGAGTTGCGCGAAGTGTTGACAACCTGCAAATAGCGTGGCAGGCGTGGGACATCGTGAGAGTCTCATTTTGCGTGGAAGGCGCAGCATTTGGTGAAGATCTGTCGTGTGTGGAATGTCATTGTGCGTGGCAGGCGCAGTATTTAGCACACTCTACACTCCACACTTTCCCCTTACACTTTACACTTTACGCTCCACACTACACACTCTACACTTTACACTCCACACTGCGCACTTTACACTCCACACTTCACACTTTACACTGCATTTTACACTTTGCACTCCACACTTTACACTTCACACTTTCCACCCCACACTCCACACTTCAAACTCCACACTCCACAATCCGCACTTCACACTCTACACACTACATTCCCCACTCAACACTCCACTTTCTTCACACTCCACACTTGGCACTCCCACCCCTTCCACTTTCCACTGTCTACAGTGCACTGGTACGGTAACAGCGGAAAATTGGTAAAATGTACAAGGCTGTTCAGAAACTTGTTTCACAAAAATGTTTTACGTGACTGCATTCGGGTTCGTTGGTTTCTCTTGTTTTTCCCCATCATTTCCATTATGCAAAGGGCCATTTGAAGGGTATACACCATTTTTAGACACCCACAGAATTGGTCTGGCTGAATTTTTGCTCGTAGCAACATAAGCAAATGGTTTTGTCATCTTTTGTCTGGAAACGGAGGATAACCCCAAATGGCCATATTAGGGAAATTGTGAACCAGTAGATTTGGGAGTACCCCATTTTCAGATAAACCCAAATGTAATTCTTCTTGAGTTTGAATCCATCCCTTGACGCAGTACTCAGTTTGAATCCATCCTCTGCATACATATACAGTACTTTTACACATACAATATCATACAATACATATATATATATAATATAATATATATATAATAGTAATAATAATAATAACAATAAATAATAATAGTAATAATAATAATAGTAATAGTAATAGTAATAATAATAGTAATAATAATAATAATATATAAAATAGAAACACCGTGCGTATACAAGATATTTTTGTATGTATTTTCTATGTATACACTGTATATGCTGAGGACCCTCTTCCTGGACCACGCCCCCCGTGACCTGGCCGTCAAGGCGATGTCTCTCGGCGTTGAAAACTGGGCCGACGGGGATCAGCAGAAAATGCTGGGAACCCTTAGAAATAGTGGATAAATGGTGGATAAATGGTGGATAAATGGTGGATTTATAGATGTTTCATGATGTTTATGATATGGAATCGATATGTTTTCCCATTTCGAATATTCCGGCTGCATAGAACAGGGCTTGGAACATTGGATATTGAGTATGTTTGAACGGCAGATCACTGGGTTTGAAAGGTTTGATATTTGTTAAGATCTGGCGCACCAATTAATATTTTGGTCTATGCGCATATACAATCCCCTCAGCTCGAATGGAATTGGGGTAGTGACGGTAGTGTGATGGGCCTTGTTCCCAGTTGTCTGGTACCCAATTTGCTGTACCAGGATTACTGAAGCCACCCGGCTTCGGTATTTCTCAACTGAAAGGAGATTGGATGGAGATGGACCGTTTCATCCCTGGAATATATCGTGAGGCATGTGTAACCCCATGTATCGTACTGGCTCGAGCCCATCAATTCGCAGCCAGCGAGGTAGCCTGGGAAGTCGAAACTTCACCTTTAAAGGCTGGTTTATCATGGTTTATCACTGTTTCACACCCAACAGGCTTCTTATCAGTCATCGGAATATGTGCTCTTTGTTAGCCACTCCAAACAGACTTTGTCCAAGCGGTGATTTAATGCTGCACTCAGGAAGGATTTGCTGGAGACCATTGAGGACAAAACTGGGTGGTTTCAGTCGTTTTTTGGATGTCATTTTCAACCCTGTTTCGGATGATGATACTCACTGAAGCACCAAGTGCAAAAGTGTACCCCCGGACTATCCCCATGACAATCCTATTTAAATCCCTACTAGATGCCAATTATATCCCAGTATAATCAAGCATTATTTTCATGACAATTCCCTTCAAATGCTCGCTTCCCACCATTTACCCTCTGGCAATTGAACAGTTTGCTAATTATTAATGAGGTAAATTAACCATTGTTAACATTGTAAATCACCATTGTTAAATCACCAAACAGTTAACAGGTAAATCATCGAACTATATGGGCCATGGCTTCCATGGCAAACGTTTTTTTTTTTGCCACAGGGTAAACACCTGTTGATGGTTAAACCACCAGGTCTTTGAAGCAGAAGATAGCAACCATAGAATCCTGTTGTTGGTTTGGACACCCCCAACTAAACTATAGATATATCAAAACACACACACACATATATATATATATTCCAGATATTTACAGAAGATTTCCCCAATATTTTTCACCAGGGACCTCAGGGCTCCATGGCAGGATTGCTATGAGGAATTCTTCAAGGGCGACTATGAGGCCATGAAGCAAAAGCACGACCAGGCGATGGCTGACAGGTTTGACTGGAGTGGCTGTGGGGCACACTAACATAGATGTGGAAAATCACACTTTTTTAGCAGGTAATTCATCCATAAATGATATGGGCCATTTTCCACATCTTTGTTAGTTTACCCTACGGTATTTTAACTCTTGAAATTTCGATAGAAACATGATTTTTGATATTTTTGGGGGGTATGCGAGACTTTTGGAGTTTTTGTACTTTTTGTTGAGTGAGATGGTTGGGAATCATTTGAATACCCAACACAATATTGATTCTAGTGTTTTGGCATCTTTTTGGGAGGTTGAAATGGATGCCATCCAGTCACTTAACAAGACAATATCTGAAAATCTAGATTTCAAATCCATAGTTGTTTTCCTATATGAAAATTATCTCCTACATTTATGGTGTGTTTTCCATATCGATGTTAATTTATAGGGGGTACAGCCGCAGATGTTGGATGAAGCATTCTGACACTCTGGCTGGATAGATCCCGGAGTGGAACCTCTCATGGCTGAAAAAAGTATATAACCCGTCGATGATTTTCCTACGTGGGTGTGGGTCAGCATCTTCAACCCCCCAAAATATCCAAAATGAACACTTGAATACAACAAAAGACACACCTGATGGGTTCACTGTTACCTGATTTTGGACACATACCCAGGTCCTCAAAAAATGCGGGACAACCAAACCTCCATCGTTTCTTTCCTGGTCAGTAGGGGAAACACATGCCGCTTGGATCCGCTGGAACATGGGAATGGCTCGAAATTTCTCCCAGAGACATGTAGAGTTTCAAGTGTTCAACAAATCTCGATACTTGTATGGGGCCGAAACTCAGAAAACGTTGGAGATTCCCATGTGTCGCAGCGAACATTTTAGGACCATCCTCCAATATTGAAGAATTTCCCAGCCCTTCAACTGTAGATTTCCCCTTCAAAATATCCCTGTGATTACTTGATGGTCCCATACAGCGTCAGGTCGAGGGTATGGCTGCCATTTGCCAGAAGTTCTATGGCGACACTGCTCCGCCCCTGGGCCAGATTTGGCTCGTTGCGAGGAGTTTCGAAGTCGATTTTCTGGTTGGTGGCTTTGGATATTTTGGTGGATATTTTGGATGTATCATTGATAGTTATTTAATAGCGAACTGGAACACCAGCATTTTTAAGAACGGTAAATCATCATATGTAATCATCCAATTTCATCAATTTTCACGGGCCCTGGCATAGCCATGTTAAATATTCATCGACGTCTAGGGGAGATTGATGACCAACAGGATAGACACCCGTCTCTGCAGAAATCTGCAGCTTCTGAGGCAATTGGAATTTGCTCCAGGTCCTCGTATGCCATTCAAGCCACCTGGTGAAGATTTTGTGGGAATCCCCCCCGCAATATTCAAATATATTCAATATCCATAGAAGCCCTCGCTCTAGAAAGTATTGGATCTATTCATGTTGGTCTCCCTTATTGGTGGTATTTGCGTTTAAAGGGGGATAGGATTAAGCTCGCTGGAACCCATGACACTGAAATCTCATGAAATCTGCATTTTGTAGATGCCAGTCTTGACTGAAAAGCCCTGTTGCTGCTTCCGTGTGACTAAAACATCCAA